CGACGTTCCTGAACATGACAAACAGATCTGGCGGGCGCTACTGCGAATGGCATCTGTATGCCAAGGAATTGCCTGCGCTCTGTTTGGTGCTTCCGTATTTCATGCCTGCAAGGTGCTCCGTACCTTCGTACGAGTATTGATATCTACTCCGTACCCCGTAGAAAATCACTGCCGCATTGGCTTTGGAGCAGCCCCGGCCCCACAGATTATAGTAAATATTGGCCCCCCAGTCTGCTTGAGCAGTTAAGCGATGAAGCACTTTGGCAGCTGTGGGACATATGCAATAAATGATGCTTACCAGTGGGAAGCTTTTGCAGGTTGTTAGGCGCACGAGTAATGCCATGTACTTGTACGAGTAGGATGCTCGCCTAGGCGAAGCCCTGGTCCCAGATTCCCTTGTGGCATTGAGGGCACCCATCACTGACAACCTGGTCCCAGCCCGCATGCCGTCGGATCACGGTGGATCAATATTCATCGACGTTTCTTAGCCCAACGGGAAGAGCCCGGTCGACGTGCAGGTGTCTCACCAGCAAGCTCACCAGCAAGCTCACCATTGAGCCGGAAATACGTTGGAGGAACGATTTTATTTACGTGGCCCCCACTGGCGAGAGTACGGAGCAACGGCGCAGTAGCACCGCTGTGCAACAACGCACGAGTACACGCTGAGATGGCGAATCCTTGGGAGGAGAGCTGGCTGGTGGTCTCCGTCGTGTACCTGTATGGCGACATGTTTTGTTGTTTTGGTCGACGCGGGACATGCTACGTAACACTAGCACGGCACGTACGAGTACATGCCTCGGACCTGAACCTGGGCCTGAACCTAGGCCTGGGACCCGGACCCGGACCTGGACCTGAAGCTGCTTGAACAAAGCATGTCAGTTAGAGCAAGCCCTGGCCTGATTTGGAGATCTCAAACCTGTCATTCTGGACCGGGAGGGGGGTGGAGGGAGACGCCTCTTTGGTACAATCTCCGCCAACACCAGCAAGGCGAGTAGCTTGTACTACACGATATTTGCAGTTGGAGAGCAAGAGGATACGACAACGGTCCGTTAGCTGCGAGAGATAAGGCCGTTGAGCTGTTTTCGATGACCGCCTCACCCTTGGCAAGCTTGTCAAAATACGGAGTATTGACTGGTAGTGTCAAGTCGTCGACTTGGAGGGGCTGAAGCTTGGGGCAGCCACAGCGACAAGGGTTGTGGCAAATGGCGCACTGTGCTCGCGCTTCGGCAGTACGGGCTGGATAGGCCAAAAAGGGACGAGCCGCCGCGTACTCTTGAGGGGCAGTCGACAGTGCAAAAGCGACAGTGCACCAAAGGCGCGCACACTGGCTCCGTACATTGGCCAATCGCAGGGCGCCAACTTTAATTTCCAGCCGCCCTGGCTCGGAAAATTGATCTCCTGCCAGTTGCCGTCGTCGGCTTTTGGCCTCGGCCAGCATCAACAGGGCCAGGCCAGGCCTCCCTCGCAGCCAGCGAGTCGAGCACGTCGTCGGCCCATGGCCATTGCCAGTGCTCCAAGTAAGTTATGACAGGGCTCCACCTGTCTAGGCCTCCTTCTGTCACCCACGCCGAGCGATCTGGCCCCTGGAGAGATCGCCAGGTCCCCCAACTTGCGTCGAGAGGCCAGGAGCTTCGCTGGAGCCTCGCTGGAGCCTCGCTGGAGCCGTCGCGCCAAAAAAGATCCATTTAGCGCTGTCAACGCAGAAGTGCGAGGGGTTAAAGACGGGGGGCATGGCGGCATGGGTTGATGGGCCTCCAGCAGGTGCCAGTGGTCGTGGCAAAAGCTCCTCGCATGGCGGGCTTCAAATTACCTCGTACGAGTCTGTATGACACGGAGACGACACTTGGGCCTTTGGGGGTTATTGCGGGAACCAAGTCCTACGAGTACTCGTTCAGCCGGCGCGAGGCACAAGGTGCTTACAGGGCGTGTTTAATACACGTACGCGCGGGCAGGCTGATGTCCAGAGTCAGGCGCGGCCGCACAAGATTGATCTTGACAGCTCCTTGTGGTGGACCCGCGATTTCAATCAATCATTTGCGAAGCAACCGTCTCACAGGAAACGTGCGTTTTGCTCTCTTCTCGTGTCTGAAGCCACTAGCAGTATTCCTCAGTGCACGAGGCTGGCTGAATACGATAGCCGCCAAGGCAGGTGAAGCGTCTGTTGGGATTGAGAGGTGACGAGGGAACGAATGAAGAGCTGTGCCTGCTCTAGCCCTACAACTCAGCGGTTGACGACTTGCCACCACGACTAGTACGCACTTGTCAGACGTCTAGACGGAGGAGGCGAAGGTTTCTAGAGAACCCGGGGATGTGGCATGGAAATGGCACCCGGTATCGGTAACTGGCAGTTTCCGAGTTTCTGCAACCACGCCGCTGCAATTTGCGGGCGACATGCCGCCCAAAGGTTCAATGTTGCTGCTCACCATGTCTTGTGGCGTCAACGGCGCACCCATATTTCCGGGTATAGCTGCGCGTGCTGCGGAGCTGGAGCAGACAGACATGACTCTTCTAGCAAAATTACTGAAGCCTAACCCACCGGTGATGGGGGAGGCTTCGGCGCCAAAAAAGACTGGATCGACACAACGGAGATGTCCTGATACAGTACCTACAGGGCCTCGGGTTGAATCCATGGCTCTGAAGCTGGGGGCCGTCTACAGTATAACAGCTGCTCTCGCATCACGACAATCTGCGCCGGCGTATTAGAGTGCGGCATGCCATTTGGGTATTACTCCGTTCCATTCTCGGCACTGCGCGCTTCGCATGGCATGAGGCCTGTGCCATCTTAGCCCTCCCCACTATCTGATATAATTCGGCTGCCAGTGCCCACATCGCAGCCGCTATAGATTCAGCGGCTCCCCTTGGGGCAGCCTTGGCCTTGATGCTGGACGATCGGGTATTAAAATGGAGACTCTTTTTGCTGTTGGCTGGGATATCCTTACGCGACCCCAAAGCAGCTACCTGTACGAAGCATGGAGTACAAGTACGAGTACGGTACACCGCTTGGGTATCGGGCAATCGCTTGCGACGTCCATTGATTTCGGAGGGAGGGAGTCATGCCCGCTAAGACCGCAGATGATTTGGATAGTGGGATTCTTCGATTCAACAAGTAAGTCGTCACACACGCCGTGTTCTCCTGAACTGCGTACGATACTCGTACAGCTCATACTGCCCTGAGCTTGCGGCAACGTTGGAATTGCTTTCTTCCTTGCCCTGTCGGCGCCTCGTTATTACACTAGCACAAGTACACTGGTGTATAGAAGATCAATGGGAGATGAACGGATACACGCTTGTCTTTGGAACAAATTACCTACTAACGCATACGTACTTGTACGAGTAGTCGTCTCGAGAACCGCAGTTGGCATGGAACGAGTCGTGGATAGGTCAGTGCCACCTGCTGCACGGCTACGGAGTACTGATCTGACTATACTAGCAACGCATTCCAATGGTGGCGAGATCTACCTTCGATGTATATACGGTGCAATCGGATCCGAGCCACAGACTGAGCACGGATAGCACCATTACTCCCTCACTGGCCACTTTGCTTGTATGTACACAGTCTCCCCAGTCTTCGGCCCTTCGAGAACTTATACTCGTATATCATGTTGTGTGCTCACAGCTCGGAGACTCCTGTCTTGAGCTTCAACTCCACACAGCCAGCTACTCTATCATATCCAACAAGCCATCACTGCCACCGGACCATTCCGTGCTTCAACCAAACAAATTTTTTCTTTGCTATCAAATACGATACGAAAGGCTGCTGCCAACCCGTCATCCGAAAGGGTTGCAGTCTGTGTCGCTCGGTGACTGGCCATGTCAGAAATACCATTTTAAGTTAACAACACACCCCCCTTTGATTTTCTTCTACGCCTACACCCACCCCCCGTCCAAACCACACACGCACCCACTAGGCGCTTGCCTGCGTTTCTGTGACCATTCTATCTGGCTTCCCTAAATCGAAGGTTCATCAGAACAGAACAGGCTTTGGGTCCGTGGAGCCGGTGGCCCACCAGGGCCTGTCGGGGCTTGACGAGTGCTTTGGCCCCCCTGTCCTTGTCTGTGGCGACCGTGCTGTCCCTGGGCTTGCTTGCAACTCATGCAGACTGACTGACGACTGCTTGACTTGCTTGTTTGTATGGCCAGTCACAGGGGATAGTGGGCTGTCAGACCAGCGCCACTTGGCCTGAGTCGCGACGTCCCTTTTTCATTTGCATCCAGCGCCGCTAAGAACCCATGTTGCCGCTCCTATCGCAAAGGGCTGCGTCTATATTGCTCTCCATCCTCCCATGTTACTACCTCACCACTCTATGATGCGACGAGCTCTTTTTAAGTTCCGCGAGCCCACTTTGCTACCTACGTACTGCGTATCTCGACTCTGCTCTGCTTCTGCTCCAGTTCGACTCTGCTACCTTACTTATTACATGCATACCTTGGATCTACACGACCGGCTGTTCTCTATAAACACGGGCACTTTTATGGCACTTTTACTATCGACGAACCTTCTACTCCCGGCTTGTTTTTCCCTCCAGCTTTTAATTTGTTGATATTTATACGATACGCTTTGGATCACGCTTCTCAACAATTCCCCGTTTTGGCAACCAAGCTAGCTTGGTGCATCTACCCGTCAACCTGACGATACTTCCTTCTGGAGTACTGTGGCCGTGTGTCTTATAGAACTCTCGGCCTTTTATTTTTGGATTAGCTTTGCATCACTGTCACGAGGTGTCGATATACTTGGTCGATCGAACGTCGTTATTTACCTACCTCTTCGTTTGTCTTCGCAATCAAGTCGAACGCAAGGGGCATATACCTGTAAGTTTGGGGATGGCTATAAATCAGAGGGGTCCAACCCACCAGCTGACATTGCAACTCGCATCAGACATTCCCCCTCGACTTGAACCTTTTTACTCTTCTGTCAGAGGGCTACCTTTATGGACCATCGTTATCCTGGGATAGATTCTCCAAGTTCCGAACCAAAGCCCTATTCAACAGCATCATCAGAGATGACTGTCCTCATGTCACGACCTTGGGCTGTGACTCGCAATCTTGGCCACTTCCGCGACTGGGAAATGTATTTACCACGGGATGACGCGCAGTCGAAGCGACTGCCTCCTATCAAAGAGGTAGAGAGTCTTGTCTTGCATGAGGGCGTGGGTAGATTTACTGATCTGTGCTAGGTTTTTCCGGGCCTTGGCTTGGGTTCAAGGGATGATGACAACTTTGGCAGCTTCCCCAAAGTCTCCCGCGTCACGTCACCCAACTTTGATGCTTCACCCAACAAACGGAGAAGATATGAAGACGAGGCGGAGGCGGAGGCGGCTCAGCGAGGACACGTACCGCGGGTGCATCGTTACCCTAGACACCGAGTTCCCGTCTCTCCTTGCCAAAGTCCTTCTGCACCAAGGAGCTCAGAAAGATGGAATCCTGCTCCTGAAACGATAGTCTCGCCTGGTTCATCCTATTCTGTCCCTACGCCAATGTCTCTCCCTCTCTCTGCGCCAATGGAAGCGCAAGACTTGTCAAGGCCTCGAATGGCTCTACCAAGCTTGCGAACATCGATGAATTTCGAAAATGAGCCCCCGAATAGCCTGGATAGCTCCCTGGGCGGCCCTCGAGACTACCCGTGGGTGTATAGCCACGAATATACCTACTACAACACTCACAGCCACAATCAGTCACAACCCTCAAGCCCTGGTCGACCTTATGATGGAGCAGCCTTCTCAGGCTCAGGAAGTGTATATCCCCACCACGTGGAGCCGAGCCGCACAAGTCAAAGCCAAGGCCAAGGCCAAGGCCAAAGCCAAAGCCAAAGCCAAAGACACCTTCAACAGTTGGCAGCCATGGCCGCCGGGAGCGCACTGCGAAAACGACGCGGCAACCTCCCCAAAGAGACGACAGATAGGCTACGGAGGTGGTTCGCCGCACACCTATCGCACCCTTACCCCACAGAGGACGAGAAGCAGGACCTGGTGCGCCGGACTGGACTGCAGCTTAGTAAGTATCTGAAACAACTCCAATCGCCAATGCGAAGCTGGATGGCTAACGCCCCCTTTTGCAGATCAGATTTCCAATTGGTTCATCAACGCAAGGCGACGCCAGCTACCTGGCTTGCTCAAGAGGCAGAGAGAGAACGAGGCTGCAAGGCGAGGTCTTGCTAGCCGGGAAGGCGAATCTACGGATCCCTCGTCTACCGCCTCGTCGCCTAGGAGTGAAGCCGGGGCCCATTCGAGCGATGAAGTTCTTCAGCGCCGTCGGAGCAGAAGCATAAAGCGGGGCAGTGTATGAACCGGAGGGTCTAAGGGCTTAAAGGGAATAACGAAGAAAGCCAAGCGAAAGAACTGGGGAAAAGACATGTCGATTGAATTGGTATACACAAAGGGATGGGCAGGTTTAGCAGGCATAGCGGGTATAGCTACGGAGTTTAGGGCGCCGAATCACTCAAAAGGGAATTAATACTCTGTAGTAATTACCTACTAAATGACATCACGAAATTACGTCTCGTTGAAGCTGGTACGATCTTGTCCATTTTTTGACCCCCAAATGATAAGTGAGGCGTTCAATAACTCCATTGGTATAATGTGGGCTCGTTACGAAGATCTACAGAGATCCGGGGAACCGGCCAGAAAGAGGGCGCAAAGTACTGTGGCGATGGTTTCCACAGTATTGCGCGGAAGAGTGGTCCTTGGAGCAACCCAGATTGGGGGGGCATAAAATCGCCATCTACTCCATATACACGTATCAAGATGCGCCGAGATGATGTCGCGATTAAGGAACCGGAGAATCTCCCGGGGCACTCATCAAGGTCGTAATGAGTGTTTTTTAAAGTTCGAAAATGCTACTTGACAGGGGGGCAGGGCGTCTAAGTGGGATAGGCACAATAAAAAAAAAGAGAGAGAGAGAGAGAAGGATAAGAAAAGCACATGGATGGCTTGAAATCTGCCGCCGCCGCCAGCTTCGGGAAGGGAGTTTTCACCTACGACAATGGCAAACTCTGAGTGCGAACTACGGTATAAGGTTGGCCAATGGCGGTTGCTGAGTGATGGAACCGGACTTGTGCCTCGGCGCTTGGCGGAAGAAAGAGAAGATGCATTTTTTTTCCTATTGGGATTGCACCTCTGACAGAAGTCAAACGGGCAGATGAGGCGAGTTGTGGCTTAAGCCTTGGGTGGTCATCAAGCTGGGCACGCGCGCCAATGGGGGGAATTTGCCTAGCACTGCCACATGGAGAAGTTGAGACGCAAAAGGCGTTGGTACATTAAGAAGAAGAAGAAAACGAAGATGTGGCGGTCTGGGCAATGATGCGCGTTGCTGCGAACAAAGTAGGCAATTGTTGGAGAATAACTTGGTTGCTTGTTAGTGTCTCCAAGAAGGGAAGAAGATTCAACACCCTCGCCACACCCCCCCCTTCGGCTTGGCACGGTCTTTTCGGTGTTGGGTGAGGATTTTTTGGGAATCCAGCTGAGCAGATCCTGGCGCGCAATCTGTCTAAGTGACATCTTTCAAGGCTTCTTGGCTGGCTGACCTCGTGCATAGTTCGTATACGAGTAGAGATCCGGCTAGGATCAGGGACTGCATGCGAGAGCCGGGCAACGCAAGCAAGCCATTAACCGAGGATATAACAAAAAAACAGACCGACAGACATGTTAGTCTAATACGACGGAGCTTCTCGTGCAGTAGTGAAAATTAATCCAAAGGTTAATATGGGAGGAGGGGATACGGGGAGGTGCTCCGTAGCGTTGGCAGCGGTAGTTGGTGAATAACGATAGTGCAAGAGATACTTTTGAATGCGGCCGCTGGCATATAGTTTGGCTGGGGGTGAGGGTGAGGGTGAGGGGGGAAAAGCGACAGAAACCGCTTGAAGACGCAAAGTGATGATCAGATTTTTCCGTGCTAGGATTGGGACATGTTTCGGCAATCCATGGCATGTAACGTGCTATCGTGTTTGGCGAGAGGGTCTCTCGTACGAGAGGATTAAATAAAAACAACCAAGACTTTATGCTCCGTGTTTTGGGCGGTGGACAACTTGACAGGACACAGGATGCACAGCACTGAAACACCAAGGAACCAGCATCGCGTACTCGTTTGGACCAAGAGCACGGGAGACGGTGACGGATGTGGAAGGTTCCCCCCCAAAAGGCCAGGGGTTGTTCCTCGGTTGACTGGCCACAGGGCTGCCCTTTTCCCCCTCCCAACTGAGTGAAAAGCTACGGAACTTACCAGACTTGCAGACTTTTGGTGGAGTCGTCGAAGCCATGTCTATGCAAAGCCTTGTGCATTGCCCTAGGGTCCTAGGATTGGCGATCCCAAGATTCATGGGTGTTCGATTCGGGTTATGCGATGAGGATTGGTGCCAGCTGAAACAAAATTTTTCCATCCTTCTCACCTGTTTTAAGCTCGCGTAATATCAGAGTTGCAAGGTGATAGAGTTTAGGGCGCACATGAATATGCAAGGCCAAGTCAGACAGGCGAGACAGCATTGGAGGCATTTCCGCAAGAACCATGCTCATGACGATTCTTGGTATGCCGTAGCGCATGCACTCGGTCGACGATGGTCAATCTAACATGAGCGAAGCGAGCATTCGCCTCGCTGCAAGTGGACTAAGACGGCCGGCACGAATAGGAGGTGAAGGTTATTAACGGCATGATGAATCCTTGCGCGGATTTAGTCGTATTTCGTGAGTATGAACATGACGCGAGGAGCTGAATAAAGGTTGATGAGATGGCTTTGGGAAGCGTGTGATTGATGTGATGGTGCAGGGGGTCTGCAATCCTTGTCCCACCAACAGCACAGGGTTTGGCCCCCCTGTCATATGCAGCACCAGGGAGTTGGTAAAAGTGTCAAAACAAGACTTGACGGAAATATGTACGAGTACAGGTATAGAATGTAATGTGTGTGCTAGCATCGTTCTCGTCTCGTCTCGTCTCGTTTCTTTTGTCCGATGCAGGTTTACGGTATAAGCATGCGGTATGACTCGTTCTCGTGCCTGTCCTGTGTGGCTGGCGTCAACTGGACTGACAGGCGGCAACGGGACAGGACAGGAACAAAGACAAAGAGCTGACCCTCTCTTTCCTCTTCTCCCCTCGCCTGGCTCCTTGACGTTTCTTGCTCGATGACCTGATGCGGCGGTGGCTGCTGGATGCGCCTATGTGTGCGCGCGGGCAGTTTATCCCGGTTCCCCGAGCCGGCCAACCAGGCGGCTATCTTTAGCTTGCTGGGATGGTTTTGACATCTGCGGGTGTGGGACGAGGGCCGGGAAGTGGGAAGTGGGATTTGCAGACGTCGATCCAATTGTTGCTGGTCCTCGTGCGGCTGATGGTGGAGGCTCCGTTGCAAAAGTCGCCCCGTTGTGGTTGCAGCTTATGCATGTATGCACGATGTACATATGCGCGTTATGCATGTAAGTGTGCTAGAGCGAGGCTAGCGAAGCCTGATTCGATACGGAACGGCCTGCAGAGGTCAATCGGCATAAGCGAATGCACCAGAGACAGCGGATGCAACATCGGTGAGAGAAGAATCCACGTGTTGGGATCCAGGCCGATTGTCAGTATGTACGAGTACAGTAGCCGCAGGGGGGGGGGGGGGGGGGGGGGAGCTGATAGGCAGACACCATCCTTTCGGCGAACAATTGAACAAGCGTCGATGCCCGCTTAGCTGCATGCGAGGGTTTGGATATTGGATATCGGCAAGTTGGATGCTGGACTGGATATTGGATCAATGTTCCCTAGTACTTACCTAGTGCTGTCTGTGCATGAGTAATGGCACCGGAAAAAAGTCACCATCTTTTGCACGGGTATTGATAGTGGAATGGAGCAGGAAAAAGAGTAGACAGAGAGAGAGAGAGACTTGATCCCTGCTAAGTTCAAATGTTCTTGACTAAGCGAGCCGAGTACTACTCGTACGAGTAGCTGTACATGCCCCAAGACCCAAGCCGGACCGCACAGCCCTGTAACTGGTACCCCGGGGATCCGCTCGGTGGTCATTTCGCCGAACAAGCACGGCCTTCTGGTAAATGCGGTCCGAGCTGCTGACTACGTCTCTCGTATATTCAGCATGATTTTCAAGGCTGCACTGGGCCTAGCCCGCCAATCCCTCGCCACTCCTTGCGCAGAAACCTGTTTGGGAAATGAGGCTTGCTCTTCTCTTCAGCCTCTTTGTCGAGTTGACTCGCTTCACTGTGCTTTTGGCTGGTGCTTTGGCCGGGACTTGACTGGCCTCTTCGCAAACTCTTTCCCCCCCTCTGGAGCCTTGACGGGGCCGTGCCCGGATCTCGCATCCACACGATGCCTCTGTCTGATATGATATGATATGATGGGTATCCGATATACACATGACATGACAAGACAAGGCAAGGCACGACACTGCCGGAACCCGCTGGCTGACATGACAGGTGGCCACCAAGGCGTGTCGGCAGCACGGAGCAGTGTCTAGATATCGCAGGTCCTCATTGCCGTTATGCTTCCCCCCCCCCTCGTCCGTCCTCAGGTCATGCTGATGCTGATGCTGCTGCTCAACCTGCTGGCTGCTGGCCACCGCTGGCTACTGCTGCTGCTACTGCTGGTGGGATGCTGTCAAAACCACTCCCGAGGTGGGGCTTGGAGCGCTTGCAAAGACCTCCTGTGATTCCCCGCCAGCTACTGCACTGGTTACTGCAAACGGAATCCTCGAAAAGATCCCCAAACCGGGGCGTGTACAAGTATTGTCCAAGCGGTCCAACGTGGGGGGGAAAAGCCAACGGGTCCTTGCTCCTCTATGAAGCATCTGGTGGGCTCTTATGGAGTTGCCTTTGACAATCTAGGGCCTCTGGTCTTTCTTTCTCCAGAAGCTGAACTGCTTAGACCGTTATAGAGGTGGGGTTGGCCAAGATGAAGCAATCCAATCCCCTTTGATAAGGAGCCACAGACTTTCCCCAGCCGATTACTTCTATGACGGCAGTGACAGGTACGGAGGAAACCAACATTCTGGGCAAGGCGCACATGGCTGGCTTGCCATGACATGGCAGGGTGGGTTGAAAGGAGATCCTTTTGCCTCTTCCTCGGATGGCTTGCACGGCAACACGGTTGTGACATACGCGTACGACTGACATGACACGAGCGTCCACCCTTCATTTAGACTATTGCCCCGAGATTTGTCGGGAAGTGGGTTCCCATGCGCAAATGGGCACCGCGTCCTCGGTCAATATACTCATATCAGAACGTGGGCCGCGTCCGCCACTGCTGTCTAGCTCGCTTGATGGATGGGTTCATTTGTTGTCGAGATGAACTCCTCTGCTATATATCAGCCTTGTCAGGCAGCCCCTTTTCGCCTCTCAGCAAAGGTGCCCCCCGCCGAAAGCCCCTCATATCATCGGTGCCCTTTAGCGTCAGTGCAAGCGCTTCGTGCTACGGGAATACGGGTCCTACAAGCAAGTCGAGGAACAAATGAAATATGGAGTGTCTACAGTTAGGCCAGGCTCTAGTTTCTTTCGACACCTGCACTATCTGCCACAAGTGCGGAGTAGTCCTTTGATCTAATCAGTGATGGATTAGTTTGCTTGGAGGACGGATTATCCGACCTCTAGTTGATCCCGAGATGTGGTTTTTTTTTTAAAGTTGGATCTAGCAAACTGACGGGCGCGGAGTCCTTCCGGGGGGCGTGAGCTGAGATATACGAGCGATGCGACGGCGGAATGATTCTTGACATTTCTCGAAAGTCTTCCCGAAACAAACATGATCAGGAAATTCCACACTGGGGGAAGAAGACATACCCCGTGGCGACTCTGGAGGTGGCGAAGGTGTCGTTCCATCGCCATGGAAGCTAGGGAAGCCAACTTTGACTTGCTTCTAGTGACTCGCCTAGTTTTGACAGGTAAGCAGTATAATTTTTTCGGAATCCAGAAACCTCCGAAACGTGGAGAACAATGGAGTTGGTAGTTGGCGAGTCGGGTGTCGGGTCGTATTTCGGAAGTTGGGTTGAGTTATATCTGGGGTTGAGAAAATTTGAGAGAGGAGACAGGAATAGCCCAAAATCTAATACTGCTAAATCAAGGTGGAAAGACTTGTTTTGAGTGTGATGAAGTGTGTGCAAAATCTGTACGGCGATTAAACGGTCAAGCCAATTTAAATTAGTTGACCAATGATAATGATTAATAGGGGGGAAAAGGAATATGTAGAATTTGCCTTTCGAATAGATACTGACTGACATCTTCACTGTGAGTTGTCTGATCAAGAAGAAAATCTAAGTGTGAATCATATAATTACAAGATGTGTAACGATTGCAAGTGCGTATTATCGTTTGTCTTCCGAAATATGAATTGCTTCATCAAGCCTCAACGTGGCTTCCTGATAGTTGAGTTCATCGTATCTCCTAATTCATTTTTCTGACCATGGATACAACACCTGTCTAGCCAATCTCTCATGAAAACTGATCATAACGATTTTTTCTTATAAATTCATTGAGCCAAATAAATAATGTGCTAATGACTGATTTGTACTCACTTTACAACCCTATTCTGATATGATATCTTGTACTGTCATTTGCATTATCCCATATGAGATTTCATCATACTCATTTGGATGGTTGTTAAAAGTATTCAAGATAACTTTAGTGAAAATCGAAAAAGGTTAGTTGATATGAAAAGATTTATGAGTTGGACTGTTTGAGTAAGATATGCCGTTTTTGTCAACCAGATTCTACTTGGAGAGGTGATACGATAGAACATGGAAATGACTTCACCTGGGTTGAATGGAATGCCGTAAATAAAGTCTGTAATGAATCGCTGTGGATTTCAAGATGGACGAGATATAGTGATGATAATGAATTGTGAGATAGAATGATCAATGTATTCATCACAATCCCCATGTATGCGGATTGCATCCTGCATTACTCATCGCCATCGTGTTTATTCCGCCGAAATTGAAGGTAGCACCAACAAACAAACATTATAAAATGATATAGCTCACGTACTGAGGCCAAGAAACGTAGTGAGACACACCCTGTTTATGATCACGTGGAAAATCTCAATCATATGTCATATGTCATGATCGCTGGTGAGAAAAAAGTGAGAACCTATGCCTTGGCGATGACAAATTAATGAATGGGCGCTGTTTAATAAGAACGCACTTCCCAGATATGCTAGAGTGAGTTTTCATGATCTTGTGGTGTAAATATCGAAGGAAACTTAATCATGAAATGAAATTATAATCAACGGCTCTTTCACATACACAATCCAAATTGACATTTTTAAACGCGTGGCGCACTGGTTTCACAAAGTCATGGAAGCAATATTGATTCGAGTAGCTTGATGAGCAAGCAAATGCATTCTGAAGCCAAACGAAAGGCAGAATAATATCTCTCATCAAGCGATCGTGTTTCGAAAGCCCTCACCATATTTCTCCGAGATAGTAATAGAGACATCTGGCTCCATGAACATCTCAAGTGAGGGACTCGCTATATGAAGTATTGGTTCAACTTGGGAAGCAGCCATCAATGGGCCAATCATTCGTGTAGGGTATATATGAATGCATCGTCTAAATTTCCATTACGTATATCGCTGGGGCGATACTCATTGGAAGCAATATCGGTAATAGTGAAAGGTAGGATGCGGGACAAGAATGATGATTCACGCCTGCTATCATTCGCTTTAATGCCGCCATTTCAGGTGGGAAAATCACGCCGAAGTTGAGATTGAGAGGGTATTTTTTTTTTAATCACTGACATTGTAAAATTGGCTGCGATTGTGTGTTTATGTATGGGTGAGATTCTCACTCTGGTTATCAGGTGGCTTGCCTGATCCAATTGATTGGACAAGTGTTTCTTAAGAAGCTAACAAGGTTGAGCAATGTTTGAGTTGTCTTTGCATGCCTTGTGATTGAAGATATGCCTATGCACTGCGGAATGTTTTGCGCCGTATGTAATTTTGTCATCCATCTCATCGTCGTGGGCCGACTTGAGCTTGCTGTGATGTCTTCGAAAGGCAAGGGAGTCAGTCAATACACACGGCGGTATAATAATCATGCACCTTTGGCCAATGTACTCCATGGCAGTTGTGTTGAAAGGTTGGAATTTGGATGTGATGTCACATCGTTTCAATCATGCATCTCATTCAGAGTCACAATCTCGCGTATCCTGTCCAACGGCGCCACCAACAACGGCGCGCTGTAGTGAGAAACGAATATGTTGAGACCCATGGGCAGAGCAATAGTGTACGATTTCTGAAAATCTCATTATAGCTGCTCTTTTGAGTTGTGGAAGAGAGCGATGTAATGAACGAATGAACGAAGTATTAGGGGGTAAATGATGCAGAATCGGCTGTCTTCATTGACGATATGTCAACAATGCTGGACGCTTAGTTCGGTATTCAATGTCTTCAATAATATGATTTCGACATCCTTTCGGCGTCCTTATTGGATTGTGAGGCAAATGTCTTGTGGAATTTGTCCAGTATGAAAGGCTGGCTTGATGCTTAGACCTCACCAATTCTCCGCCGTGTTCAATATACATATGAGCCAGTTATTACCCATTTAATATAAGCTAACCTTCTTTTAAATTCAAGAACTTTACATATCATTTGACTGAGCCCGAGCTGTTGCAGCTTATTGAACCAAAACACAGATGCTGTTTATACATACAACACCTATACCTCATGGGTAACGGATATGAAACATCACAACACCTCGGTAAGAAGTAATCTTATTCTATCTTCTAGCAAATAGACCTAACGCGTGTGGTATTTAATTCTGCGGCTAATCGTCAGGCAACAACGCGACGTGACGCCTTGTTGTGCGTTTGTCTACCAAGGAGCGACCAGAGTGTCTAGGTAGTATGTAAGCCAAATCTTCCCCGTGCTCCATTAAACCATCATTTGGCAGGTTTAGTACGCTGGTAATTACCTCTCTCATGTGAAAATAATATGACAGCTTATTCATCATCTATTTTGGCAGAATCAAACAAACTTTGTTCTATACCGCATTAAGCTTGTTTTAACGCTTCATTTCCCTCGTAAATACGTGCTGTCGCACCCACGAAAACCGCTTATTCATCGCAAACTAATCTTGGCAATGCATGAACTCCGTGCGACTCATCTTTTTTTTTTTTTTTTTTTTTTTTTTTTTTTTTTTTTTTTTAAAAAAAAAAAATTTATCGCATGTCACTCATGCATTTTCTGGGTTGGTGACTACGACTACATTCCTCGTCCTAACACGGAATTAGGGATTGATTGCCGTCTAGCAAACATGCTCATGCTCATACGAGTACATGCACGTTTGCAGCCCTCGTGCGGCTACCGGCTTCTGTCAGAGCCCTGCAGCTGAGCGATGACGTCGGCCGAATCCTGCCTGTGACTGTTCGGCGCGATTAGCTGAAGCTGAACGGCGGCGTGAACGCAAGCGCCGCGTTGAGGTGACGCAGTTCGTTCACAGAGCATCATCTGGCCACGTTTCAACAAGGACAGAACAGAATAGGACAGAATAGCTAGCCTAGGTACTCGCATGGATCGTATGTTGCCCGTTATCTGATGAACGCTCAGTGGCTGTCGGTGGCTTGATATCAGTCTCTCCAGGACGCATCCATCGGTAACAACAAGCTCCAGAGCCAGCTTTAAGTGCTGCCGTCTCTCGCTTGACTCAGACGCCCGTGATTGGCCAGTTTGCCCGTCAAGCTGGAATTACGGCTGGGAAAACTCCGTTGTGTCGGGATATCGGAGGTCGGACTTCGGCTCAAAATCGTGCCGGAGATTGGCTTGGCCCCGACAAGTGCTGAAAACGTGACTTCGCGTACGGATGTGTCATAGCCTGGCAATTGGTAAGCCTGGACGCATTCACGCTGCTGCCCGTATCAATCTCTCCGGCATATCGATATCGCACGGCGTTGCTCTTCATCATCGGGATCCTGCCTGGGCACCAGCGCTGTTATATAGAGGCCCTGGTGGCTTCTGTCGTGTCTCGTCACGTCGAGTCTGGGACAACCTCGCCCGTGCATGTGATTCGCCTCTCTCGCCATGTCGTCGACTGAAGTCCAACCCGACGCCTCCGCGGCGTCTTTGCAGGGGATGGAGCCCCTTGCCTGTGTCTCGTGCCGGGCCAGAAAGCTCAAGTGTGATCGCACAAAGCCCGCCTGCACTCGCTGCGTCAAGGTCAAGAATGAATGTGTGTATCCCGAGTCACGGAGGAAACCGACTTTCAAGCGGCGGAACGTCAAGGAGCTGGAAGCTCGTCTGGGTAGGTATCTTTGCTAGTCACCTATATCTTATTTTTATATATGCCTTCCATGGGTATCAGACCACAAGCTCATCTGCTCCCTCACAGCTCAGGTTGAAGAGTATCTTAAAGAAGTCAACAAGGGCAATGACGATGGAGCCATCCTGTTGGATGATGCCGATATCGCCCTGGGCGACTTCACCTTCGCCCCTGACAACGCCAGCCAAGATGCCAACACCTCGAGCAGCGCATCAGACCCAACCATGTCCTTTGACATTCCCGACTTCACCGGCCAAGAGGGTGGTGCCTTCAACATGAACAGCCAGCTAATGGGCCTTGGCATGTCTGAGGCTCTGCCTCCCTTTGAAATGATTGAAGAACTGTATGACAAAACCCACTGCTTTGTATTAGTGTCTAGTCAGGAGAGGATTCTAACAGTTGCAGGCACAACGTCTACTTCACCACCCACTATCACTTTCTCCCCATCATTCATTCTGGCCGCTACTACCAGGCTTTCTATGGACCACCAACCAGGAAACCGCCAATGTGTTTGCAGTATGGAATTTGGGCGTATTCTGCGAGTGGACACCTCAAATATGACCACTATGCCGAAGCTTTCTACAAAAGAGCACGGCAATACATGGAAGCAGATGAGATGAAGGTGAGTCCGCCTTTCTACCCCCTTGATATGCCTGGTATGGTCTGTGTACTAACCCCACCGGCGCAGAGTGATGGCGAGCACTTTGTCACGGTAGCTCACGCCCAAGCATGGGCCATCATTGCCAGCTACGAGGCGAAAGCCATGCTGTTCACCCGAGCATCTATGAGCGCTTCTCGCTATGTCCGGCTTGTTCAAATGCTGGGATTGGACAGACTTGATAGAGAAGGAGACGACATCCCTCCAACCCTTGGCCCCATTTCCAACTGGACCGAGCTAGAGGAGCGCAGGAGGGTCTTTTGGGGCGCGTTTGCAATCGATGCTCACGCAAACATGGCAACGGGCTGGGCCAACATGATTAAATCCGAAGATGTAAGCCATTTTTGACTTGTTCGCTCTCGACAGTTGAAGCGTGCTGACCACATTCTAGGTAATGACACGCCTTCCATCTTCCGAGGAAGCATTCATGGCGGGACGAGAAGAGAAAACAGCGTTTTTGGAGGAGGTGTTTGCAGGAGCTCCTTTCGAGAGCTTCTCCGGCGCCATCGTCATATGCGAGATCTTCAAGACTATCTTGAGGCACGTTCACGGAGCGAAACCTTCTGACCGCCCCGAGGACTTGATGAACGGCGCCTATTGGAAGCGCCACCGCGATCTCGATAATAGGCTATCAAGCCTTTTCATGTTCCTGCCCGAGAAGTTTCGCCTGCCTCAAAGGTCTCAAGACCCAGCAGCCGTGCATACAAATCTGAACTTGCACGCGTCTGTAATATGTCTACATCACGCCGCCATCGAGACAGTAGAAAAGTTTGGACTCGACGACTCTATCAAGCAGAACAGCATATGTAGGTTGAGGACATCTGCCGAAGAAATCGTCAGCATTATTAAGATGACATCGCATACGGCCTCAATATTTGTATGTTTTGTCTCTCCCATCAATTCTTAGACGTCAAACTAACAGTGGCAACAGAAAACGCAGCTTTGTGCACTCTCACTGTATTGTGCTACGACGGTGTATGTCTATTTGGCCAAAGACGACCCTATCTCCGGCGTGACTCCCATCGACATTTCCAACCTGGAGATTATTATAAACGCAATGGAAGCCGTAGGCCGACTGCACCAGGTTACAACCGCCTTTCTCCAACAAGCTTGCCTCGATATTGAGCGTAATGGCCTGACAGGCTGCCTTCGGCTTCCGTCTCTGTCAAAATACCGCGATCTCTTTGGCGGCCCCGCATCTAACATCCCCCGACTTGCTCGGAGTTCAATATCGAAACACACGGAGATGGCTTCACCATTGCCTGGGAGACTACCTCTTGGCGGCCCCAAGGGTCACAGGAGGCCATCTGGCTTAAGAATGAATAAGCCACTTGCCTCTCTGACAGGCATCCAACCAGAGTTGAGCCATACGACAGATTGCTTTAATGCCATCCTCGGCGCAGTTACCCGAAACGTGGCCCCAAAATCATTTGATCCGGTCAGCCATAAGAGGAAGCGGATAGCCGTGAGCCCAGGACCTGAAGTAAATATGGCGGCGAACCCCAGGACCTCTGGGATGACAACAAAGGAGTTTCGCTTCACTCTTAGCAAGGGAGCCATGGAAACTCCCGCGAATAACGCTTGTGGGAATCTATTTCCTGGAGAGATAGATATGAGTATGAATACCCAAACCGTGGACCCGATCTTTGTGCTCCCGGACCGCACCAACTCATCAGCATCATCTCCAATACAACGTGGAGCCGCTACAGAGGTCTTTTCGGCAAGCAGCCACACTTCACCCAGCCTAGGTCTTGGCAATACTCCCGAGGAGAATCGCATCGATCTTCGACCGTTCCAAGGCCGCATTACAACGCCACTTTGGCATAGCACAGAAGAAGGGCTATTCAACCACGTTACGGAGACAATTGCGCAGTACTCTGGGGACGGCAACGACCCCTGGGCATTATTAAATGGAGAGCACAATAATTGGAATGGCACCTCAATAAATTGATTGGTGCGCAGGGAGGAAAAAAAGACGTCAAATGATAGCTGGACATATCTCAAAACATTTTCAGGGGCGGTTTGATTACGCGGCTGTGGACAAGGGATATTTTCTCTTCTCGGCGCATTGCGGTTGGGATAAGGCAGTGTACGATACCCCGTGCGTGAGAAGTTACGCAACTCTTGTAAAACAATCATTTCGCTTTGGAGTACAGGACGGGAACAGGACGGAACAGGATCAAACTGGATGATCTCATCACCTCTCTTTTACAAACGGATCAGCATATAAAGACATCTATAGACTAAATGATATTAATGCCACAAAAAAATGATCATGAAAACGTCGTACCACTTACACTGCCACGATGACATGAGAAGTTGTCGGCTGTTGCGGCCAATAGTCGGTGGGCCAAGAGCCGGAATAGGGAATACGTGGGGTGACGAGTAAGGACTTTTCGGGGATTTAAACTGACAGAAAACAATGCCAACGGCTTTAATCAATGTTTCATGAGTCTCTGTGTTTGGGTTCTTCAATTGAAGGACAAATGCCAAGAGTCATTTGCTGAGAACTCGGTCAGGTGACGAGTCGATTGATATATAACTGAAGGCCCCCACATCGCTCAAGATAGATTCGTATCTTCAAGTTGATGGTCTCATTCGCAAAACCAATTGGCAGATGGTAAATCCGGTTTTCGTCTCTGATTCGGCCTCTACTTTCCCCTCCTTTCACACCGATTTTACTTGATCAAGCGGCAGGCCAATTGAGCTAAAAGGGGGCAAGAAAGGTGAAGAATTCGAACATCATGTTCGCCTACGTCGTCGGCTTATTGGCGATTCTGCTCTTCGTGGCGAACCCCATCACCCAGTATTTCCTGCCGCAGAGCTCTCGCGCGCTGTCGCCGAGGCCGCAGCTGAACGAGTCGCTGCTGGCGATTGATGGGCCGAATGCCACGGTGCCGAATTGCCCGGCTGACGCGTACGGGGCGCGGATTTTGAGTAGGGAGCCGTTGGTGGTGTATCTGGAGGGGTTTTTGAGTGAGGGCGAGAGGAAGCATTTGCTTGAGATTAGGTAGGTGTTTGAATTTGAGATGTCAATTGCCGTCTTGCTCTTGTTTTTTTTTTTGCGTGTGTTGGTTGAGTTTACGGTTTCTTTTGTGGTGGGACGCATTTTTGAGACTATCAGGGTTGGAGAATGCTAATCAAGTGTGTATATGCATGAATTGCAGCGAGCCTCTTTTTGAGCCGTCAACCATCACTCATGACTCCAGCGCTACACACCGTGACACTGCAGTGCGAGACTCTTCCGTTGCCGTGTTGCCCCGGACAGACATGGTTCGCTGCATCGAGGCTCGCGCGATGGCCTTTCAAGGGTGGCGGCGAGACCTTTGGATTGAGCGGCTGCGAACGCAACGATACGTCGCTGGCGGGCATTACAACCATCATTTCGACTGGAGCGGCAATGCGAATGGATGGGGCAGAGTGAGCAGTTTCATGGCTTGGGTTGATGCGGCGGAGGAGTTGGAGGGCGGAGGAACGGAGTTTCCGCTGCTGGAAACTACAATGGAGGGTAATGCGTTGAAATGGTGTGATTTAATCGAGTGTGAAAGTGAAGAGGTCGGAGATGGAGAGCAGAAGAAACTCGACGATGGGGGAGAGGTGGAAGACAAAGGGACTACGTTCAAAGTAGTTCCTGGCAATGCAGTGTACTGGGAGAATTTCGCGCGTGATGGGAGGGGATATGACGAGACTTGGCATGCTGGTTTGCCTGTGAAGAAGGGAGTCAAGGTCGGGTTGAACATTTGGAGCTTTGGACGGATAGAGTGATTGTAATTCGACTTTTGTCTCTTTGATGTTTATAAATTATTGATCAAGCGATAAACCTGTTTGTTATATAGCGTCATTCACTCAGATTTGTTACGGGTATCGATCTGAACGAGAGAAACAATAGAAACAGTACGCCGTTGCTTATTTCCACCTCCTCTCGCATTGGCCTATCCAACGGCCCCAAGCTATTACCTTGCCATTGATTTCCTTGCCAATCTGGTCTCTCGTGGGCTTTGAGGCGATGGTGGTCGTATCCAGAGGCTCATTTAGAGCAATGATGTCGTAAAAGTCTGCAAGGGCAAATTGTCAGTTCAGTCAAACTAACCAATCTATGTCGGAATTTTCTGAAATACACGTATGTAGTGTGAGGGAGTAAGGGAAACGCTTACATCTGTGGATGCCGTGATTGAGAAGAGGTCGGGGAGGGATGTAAATACTGTTGCGGCGGTTGACGCCGTAGTAAAACCCGCCGTTTAGTCTGCTGGACTTTTCGTTTTCTTGCTCAAAGTCACTGTTTGTAACGGATAACTTGTCCTTGTCGATTCCAAGGTATATCCTTTTTTCGCAAAACGACCTCAAAGTCAGATACTCTTCGTTTCACTTGCGGGCTGCTGCAGTCTCAACTTACCCGTGGCAGATTGGCGTTGGCAGCGGCGCATCTGGGTCTTCCGATATCAGCAGCCACTGCTTGACGCCCTCGACCGATTCCCACTTTAGCTCGGGGAAGCGGCCTTCTCCCTCAAACATGTAGTCGGGCGAGAGGGTCGCGCCGTTCTCGCCGCAGTCTGGGGAGGTGATTTGGATGGTGGGCTCTGGATGCGAGGCGAAGGCTGGGCCCTTGGTGAAGGCTTTGGCATCGCGGCCTTTGGCGTTGGAGAAGAGCCAGCTGGCTGTGATTTCGACGTAGTTCATCTTTTTTTGTATTTTGGTTGCTTTCTTCGGCTTGTCTTCTTTCGTTTTGAGCAGCTTAGTGGGGGATGTGAAGCTGTAAGCCTGGTTGTGGTGTTCTAAAAGCGTCGCTCTCCGTTTTCTGGTCAAGGTCGCAGAAGTCGGCGAGATTCAGGGCAGAGCGTATAGCGCGCAGATATATATTGAGATGAGACAACCTCAACTAGAGAATCTTGAACGTTGCAATGCATCATACGTTTATAAACGATGCTGATTGCAAGCTCCGACGGCCGGTGCCGAATCGGCTGCTTATATTTGACCAGCTTTTGCCGAGATTCGCCGGCGGACTTTTAGTAGAGAGCATTGCTGAGGTGCCGAACTTCGCCTGGATGAAGCGGTGAGATTGACAGGAGCAAATAGAAGCTCACAGAGTCACTGCAAATTGACCCCAATGATATCAAGCATTTTGTGATTCAATGGGCTGGATAGCTGGAATTGTATAACTTGTACTGCATAGGTGCGATTTTCTGGTGTGGCTGGTTCCACGAAAAAGCACTTGTAGCGTACTGAAATATATTCGATTCTATAAAACGGTAGCTAGATATGTACGTGGATTACTAGTTTGCTGTGAAGAGGAACTGCCACAAATAATGTCGCGGGAAACTTCCTTTCAAATAAAAGAGAACACCAATGTCCAGTTTGAGTGTGTTACTCATGGCCGATAATCCACATAAGAAACAGCTGCCTCAAGAAGTTTACGAGTCTTAGGTGATTATCACTAGGAAGAGAGAAATCGGCATACAAATCTAAATGCAGAACCACTTCTTTAGTCGGCCGTGGCTTAGTATCAAGGTATACATCGCCTCAGCCCTACGCTATCAATTCGGATCCCCATGTTCGTACCCAATGCGACAGCCTAATGTGATAACTCAACATGGGCTCGGTCTTGGCTTATTTCTATTATGAGCTTGGTTTTGGCTTACTTCTAATAAGAGTTTTTGGCTTACTTCTATTACAAATCCTTCAATCCTTCGTTTGGTTTGTTGTCAGAGTTGGTCTATCTGATCTGGACAACAACACCGGAGCTTATGCGAGTCTGCATCGTTAGGAGCGGCTAGCTCGGGTATTGCGGAAAGAGAGGCTACATGCGTGTAATGAACGGAGTCAGGATTGCAAATGATACTTGTTCATGTCAGAGAGCATATGGAGTACAGTTGAGACCATTGATATTAGGTGCAGGTGGTTCAAGCAGGACGTATACCAAGGCAATTTGTCGACAAGAAGGAAGCCAAAGTTTGCATCAAACAACAGCATTGAGATCTGCACTGTTGATAGTCTATAAGGTAAGGTTCTAAGCGGAGTAGTCGGTTTGCAATGATTTCCGCCGACGGGGTTTTACTTGAGTCATCTTACAAATCGTTGTGGAAAGACTATTCCATAAAGCCGCCAAATGGAAAGAATATGGGAATTCGTCGAGTAAGCCAAGATATTCGGAGAGGATATGTCATACGCCACCAACTATCGCCGGGCCATGTAGACCGACTTTATGCATAGTATGCCTCCATTTCGTACATGTAGGTGCCAAGAGACGTCAAGAATCCAGGACATCTCTTCCTTACTACCGCATAGGAAACTTACCATGAATGGTAAGCTAATGCGACCAGCTGAAGCTAGTGCCTCAAGCTTGTTTGAATATCTGGATCTAACTGAGGCGGTTCCAGCCCGTAAGAATGATTAGCACCATGACTGCGGCATACTTTCTATGGATTTGGGCCAGACTTGAGCACAGCCCCATATCTCGGTACGCTATTGCTTCGTTTGCTCGTCTAAAGCACTACTAACTTGGAAGTGGACAAGCTCTCTAATTGTAAATGGAAAATGCAACTCCGCAGAGCATCCAACATCATATGTGCTGGTGTGCTTATGTGACGTAAGATCTATCGCTAGTACCAACGTATGAGATGCTGGAGCTTGCTCGAGCTGTCAGAGAGGTGGCTTGTGTCGAAAAGCATGTTTGTTGCTATTACGCCGTATTACAATTGGACATATTCTAATCGTATATAAATCCCATCGTTGCCTTTTGTTCGTGTTGCTGAACATCTACATCACTAATACCAAAACCTGAGATTATAAGCCAACATGAAGCTCCCTATCACAGGAGAGCAGATCAAGGATCTAGCCGCTCTGTTAGACCCGTCCACTAAACTCTTCACCCGCGCAGATGGCCAAGAGTATGAGCAGTTGATTGCTAGGTGGGCTGATAATGCCATCAAACAGGCCGTAAGTAGCCCTTTTCTTAGCGTCAATCAACAATGGCTCATCACTACAGGGCGTGGTCGCTGTTCCTGTGAAATACGAAGAAGTATCCAAGCTGGTGAGATTCGCCGCTGACAACAAGCTCGATATCGCCGTGAGGGGAGGGGGTCATTCTACTGGTGGTTGTAGTTCTTCGGAAGGCGGCCTTGTCATTGATCTCTCCGGCATGCGCAATGTAACAGTTGACAAAGACTCGAAATTGATCATTGCCCAAGGCGGTGCTTTGTGGGCAGATGTGGACAACGCTGCAATTGAAAAGGGCCTTGCCACAGTCGGCGGCACTGTTAACCATACTGGCGTCGGCGGATTGACTCTTGGTGGCGGCCTTGGCTGGCTTACCGGCTTATACGGCACCGTGGTCGACAATCTCGTCGCAGCCAAGGTTGTCATCGCCGACGGAAGCCTCTTGACTGCCTCGGAAAAAGAGAATGCTGATTTATTCTGGGCGATCCGTGGTGCAGGCCACAACTTTGGTGCTGTCGTCGAGTTCACCCTCAAGGGGCATAACCAGACCAATGAAGTGTATGCCGGAGGCTATGTGTTCACCCCGGACAAATTGATTGCTATTATCGATGCACTCAATGCCAAGATGAAGAATCCGGACCCCAAGGCGTCGGTTATCCTCGTCTTTGCGAGCCCGCCGACAATGCCCGGCCCGGTAATTGTCACCAACCTGTTTTATAACGGTGATGAAGCCGCCGCAGAGAAATGTTTCGATTTTCTGCTCAAACTAGAGCCTGTCGCCAACATGGCCAAGATGATGCCATATAATCTTGTCAATGGGCTGTTGAACCCGATGGCTGCTCATGGAGGCCGCAAATCTCTCAAGGCAGTCACTCTTACAGATGACGTGGACGCTGCATTCGTGCAGGAACTTTTCGACGAGTACGCGCGAAAGATGAAGGAAACTCCCGATTTGGCCAAGACCTTTATGGGCATTGAGTTCTACGACGTGACTAAGCTTAACAGCGTTCCTATCGAGTCGATGGCATTTGCCAATCGCGGCCCCTACAGAGCTGGTATCATCGGTTTGGAGTGGTCAGATTCTCGGAAGGATATGGAAAACAGAAGTTGGGGTCGGGCTCTTCAGGTTAAGTGCCGACAACACGTCATTGATAAGAATCAGTATTCCCCGGAGACTACAAAGACCGCGTTGGAGTATGCCAACTATCTTGAGCGTAAGTGTTTTGTTATTCCATGTATCTGAAGCAGCTACTAATTTGCTGCAGCTGGCGATCTTGTTGACAGTAGACCATTTGGCGTTAATCAGCAACGGTTAGAGACGCTGAAACAAAGGTTTGACCCGGATTGTCTGTTCAATAAAACGAGCCCTCTTGTACCTTTAAAAAATTAGGAGCATATAGCATTACCAAGGTAGCATTCTAAAATGAGTCTTTTCAGTGATTGACAAATCTCCATCCATCTGTTGCTATTCGATATTAGATTGTTTCATATAGTATAGTTCTCATAATCCAACACGGTGAGAGGTGTATTGATTCTTGACTTGAATAGGACATTGTATCATTGAAGATATCAATACGGATTGGCAGTATTAACATAATGCTACATGGCTTACCAGGAGAGATATAAGACCACCAATATCTGAAGATCCACACAATCAATTTGCGAGATATTAAATACATATACTTGCGTGATGTTATGAGACTTCTGATCCTCGTGTGTGCATGTACAATCTGCCCTGTAGCGGAGGAAACAGACGGGTAATTAGCAAAATGCAGAAAATCCGGCTCGAAACGCAACAGTATTTTCAACATCGCATAATCTTTTAGTAATCTAGCTATCTCGATGGCGTGTAAGTTTATTAGGAATATTTCTTTGTGTAATAAACAGATTATGGCGCCGATTCGGGGTTTGTAGTGGAGAGCCAAGTGTCTTTCCTATGGGGAGCGTTTCCTATTTCGCCCTTCTAAAACAAGGAACCATCAAACATAGGGGAAACAAGGAAAACATTATGCACATGCTTAAAACTAGACATGTTTGTTAATACTGGCTAATAAAGAGCCATGCTAATTAGGGTAGCGCGTCTTACACGTGGATATGAGGCTAGAGCAATAGGAGCGAGATTATATCATGTAGATTCCTTGGCAATACAGAGCATATAAGGCTTCTCTATGCCCCTGAGAAGATTCAGAACTCGATAGTTCCAGCTTCAACCTTCAAGTCTTAATTCACGCAGACTACCAAAACTACAACATGATCTTTCAATTCTCCCTCTTTGCGGCACTGGCATCCGTAGCCCTAGCTACACCGACGCCTACAAGGACTTCTAAGCCATCAATCCCATTGGAGGGACGAGATTACTGTAAAGGTCATGACTACCAGCTAGCAACTTGGTACGACCGCGGCACAGACCCGAACCAAATCACAGCTTGCGGCCACAAATATGACCCTTCGGCTGCTGTTGTGGCCATTTCCACAGACGTGCCAAACTACAAGTCATTCTGCGGCCGCAAGATTCTCATCTACTCTAAAGAGCAGACTGCCGCGGTGATTGCTATCATTGACGATGCCAATGCCACTGGCACTCTGGGAAAGTTTGCTCTCGACCTTTCTCCGGCTGTCTTTGACATCCTCTCACCAACCGACCACACTATTGATCGAAATGGAATGGTCGCTATTGACTGGGTATTGCTGGGTGGTTCTCCGTGCCCGCGATGATTTTGGGAGGGCTGTTATGATTACTGGAAGTGGGCAATTATTGTTAGAAAGGGAGGGCATATAAGCCACCACAAATAGCCGCAAGGACATATCATTGGCGAGGGATCGATACAGCCTGATGAGAGCTATCTAGGCAGTTGTTGCGCAACAGGGGCTATTACAGGTTGACGCAACATGGCTAGGTATAGCCGGATAATCCTGGGTGATGTATTTATAGCCATTAGATCTATGCTTCCAGAAATACGAAATTTCATCGGAGACCATTAAGTAATGTTGTTTGCATTGCCTTCTCCTCGCCCACCCCATCTTTTCAGCAGTTTCATAGAAGCAAAGGAGGTTTCTGAAGCAGTAATCAGTGCATTCCCACAGCTTGCCTAGTTTCCATGAGTCTTAGATAGACCGCTAAGAGAAGACATATTGCATTAGAACACTCAATGCTGGGGAAAGAAACCATCATTGTACCAGGAAGAGGAACTCACATGCAGCCCGCCATCTTTCGCCGATAGTCTCTAAAATCACCCATAATGAATGAATGCCCTGCTCTGTATCGCAGAACTCGGCCTCGGGGCTGAGAGACATTAACGACGTGGCAGACCGGTAGATCCACTCCAACACAAAGGGGGAAGTGTCATCGAGCGTCCCCCACTCTCCGCTGCGAAATCTCTGGGCATTACGCAAAGTGTTTGCTAACGTTGCTTGAAGTGAAAGATAGGAAGTATCCTGGCTTTCCTTGGGCGAAGACTTGAGTGAATTGGCCAAGACTACCGTGTGTATGAGCAATAGCGCGCTTCTTTCCCTGTCAGTCTTCGTCTTATAAGATGGCTGGTACGGTGAGATTGACTTATAGCAAATAGCAACTCCACAGCAGAATATCATGCCCCTTTGTGTTTCTTCAATCTCAATCAACCGCTCGAGTGCAAATAGAGTCCGATCTAATGGCATCATATCGCTCGGGCTGAGCTGTATTTTATCCTCATTTCTTGGGATTTGTCGTAGTACTTGGCTTAGAAGATTGATGGCTTGAGCGAGGCGTGCAAATCGACCTGTTTTCAAAGTTGGTGGAGAAGACAAGGTTCGATATACATCTATTGACAGCACCTAAAGAGCTTGTCCTTGTTCATTAGTTCATGTTCAGAGTCTGGATTGTCTGATGATGCAAAAGTCTTACCCCTCGATCCCAATCATCATCGTCCACAGGTAAAATTGATTCAGCATCGGGGTCTGGGGTGCACAAATGATTTCCATTGAGAGGCATATTCGTAGTACTGTATCGTTAGCCCTAATTTTAATAGAGATGGAACAAGATGGTCACTTACCGATCTAACATCAGAATTGCCCACCATATACGATTCCGCTCCTCTTGCTCAATCCATCTACTCCCTTGAACTGGATATGACTGAGTTATTCCCAAAGAAACTGCGTGACGAGCACATGATGAGATAGTGGTTAGAGCCGCAGGATAGATTGCGTGCCCTATCTCATAGACGACGGTTAGAACTGCTGATTGAATCGTATAGATACTAACGTAGCCCATCATCTCCATGTGCAACAAACACTCCTTCATGAGAGTATAAACTTCTTCAGAAGACAAACTGTAATTCTTGGGGCGACTGGTAATCAGCTTGATGCCCAGAAGCACAATAGCCACATCAGGATCAGCGTGATGTGATGGATCCATGAGCAACCCGTACAGGCGCGTCCGAGAGATGATTGGCATCCATCGGTGAACCGTACGGAAATATTCATCAGCTAAAGCTCTTCTGTGGATATGATCGCCAAGAACATGGTACACAGCGGGAGAAAGCGATATACAAGGGCGAGGGATTGTCAACTCGCGGTGGGTGGAAAGTAGCGGGTCGAGAAGAACGGCAACTGGAAAGCTATTTCTCAGTAACGGCAAATCATGTAGTGGGATGTCCGCTTCTTTAGATGGCAATGCTGAATGGGTTTCCGCTTGTTCAGTTTGTTGGTATAAGCATCTTCGACGCCGTCTTATGGCTCAGCTATTAGCATCGAGACTGCCTGTACTCTAGAGAAGAGCACGAGGTTAAACTATACCGAAGGCAGAGGCTACACGCTGGTAATTCCCGTGTACAGCGCCGCTTTTTCAGCTTGCATGCCTGACAAGACCGTCCTGCCGGCCCGGGGGTGGGTTGTACGAGAAGCTTGCCTCGGTGGCTCATTGCGGCCACACGTAGCTTTCTGCGGGATGGCGGACAGAGCCCGCTTGAGAAGATGATGCAAGACGCTGGGTTGTACCGATACCACGGACGATCACTTATGGTAAAGGCAACTTGAAAAGGAGTGGACTTGGTATCTGCAGGCTAACTGAAAGCGTTCAGGTTGTCCGGTTGATGTGGCCTGGAGAATGAGATATGAGGCGCTACTCTTGTGAGTAATCGTTTAGGAACTTGCGATTCGGTAGATGTCGGAAAGTAAACAATCATCAAACGCCCCTAGTTTAAATAGCAGAAGTCATTGGATTACTCATACACATGCATGATTACATACAACCGCTTTGCCGTTGCCAGAACTGGTTTTGTTTGAAACGGGTTTAGAAGTCGAAGAATTGTGTAGCGCTATGGCCTTGTTATGGCAAGATATCTTCACAGCCATGATTCTGCATAACACCGAGTTTGGATAAAGAGATTTTTAAATTTCAGCATTTTTAATTGAACTGTGCATTTGAAGTCACCAAAAATTCGATTACGATTGATCACTGCAAAAGTTCTCCCAGATAAAAATGCTCAATCGTCCAAGGAAAGACAGACATCACATTCACAACACATTGTTGGAGACAACATCGGGATCTTCCGTCCCTTTGGAATCATAATCAACCGCCTAGGCTATTAGCTCCCGCCCATGGTTAAACCCGAAATTCGACGAGCCAATCAGTTTCTAACAAACCGCGGCCGCGTTTCCCGCAATATTTGCGGACGATGGGCGCTACGTTGCAGAACGGACTTGCTGAACGAAGCACGTTCATACGAGTCGTCCTTTAGGATGGTGGTCAATGGAACGATGCCTTTCATCATGAATCTTGAACCGAGATGGTAATTAGTCGATGTAGAATTAATGATATGTAATCCGCTCATCTCAAATCGAAGCCAAAGTAATAGTTGCTCGTTGTACCGCAAGTATAAATCACCGCTCAAGTCCTCAAAGTAAACCACATCGATTCAAACCCAACAGCCCTCATATCTCAATAAGAAAATAACCAACTTAATCACCATGTCATCCCCTCAGCCAATCGCCCAAAATGACTCCATCCAAGCATACGTTTACGTCCTGGCCCCCTATAAAGTCAACTTCCCAGGCCAACCCGACACAGAATCCTTCGAATTCTCTCCCACCGCATTCACCTTGATCACTACACCGGACGGAGCAGTCCTAGTCGATGCACCAACTACACCTAGCCAAGGAGAAGAAGTAGCAAGATGGGTCAAGTCAATCATCTCAGACAAGAAGCTCGCCTACATTTACATCACCCACGGTCACGGCGATCACTTCTTCGCCGCGGGAGTCATCCAGAAATACTACCCCGAGGCCCGCCTCCTCGCAACTCCGCAAACATATGCCCAAATGCAAGAGAATCTCGACAAAAAGACCTATGAAGGCCTATGGGCTGCGACAACTCCAGAGTTGAGAAACAAGCCTCCTCCGGAAGTACAAGTGGACATACTAAAGGGCGACAATACGTTCGTCGTTGGAGGCCACCAGTTCCGCGTCTTGAGCCTTCCTGGTGGCGACATTGGCGAATCGACCGTGCTCAATGTGCCCGATCTTGAACTCGTCGTGGCGGGAGACGTCGTGTACGGGAGCTGTTATCAATTCTTTGGCCAGGCTCGAACCGCGGAACTGCGGAACAATTGGCTGCAGTCTATCGATCAGGTTGCTCAGCTGAAGCCAACAATTGTGGTGCCATCTCATATGCAATCGCATGAAGGTTTTGGCGCACATCATATTGAGGAAACGATAAAGTACATCAAAGCATGGGAAGATCTTGATGCTGCAACAAACACCTGGCAGGAGCTGGAAGAAGCTGTGAGAGGGAAATATTCCAACAGAATTGGGGACTTTATCCTCCGATTCTCGTCTCTGGTTGCAAAGGGGGCTATGCCAGGTCCGTAACCGTACCTAGTAAGAACGAATAGTATCACTTCAAGAGCCTTTGTTATCATCATAAATGCCAACATGCTTTATAAAATAAGTGATAAGGTGGAAGGGGAGTCTATAAGTGCCTGCGAAGATTGCTTTCTATTTCGGCACCTCTAGTCTCGATATGTTTTTATTATACATGGCTCATTTTTGCATTGCGCTTCCTTCTTATGCGTGATAAAGCAATGATGCAGCTTCGTGTGAGTTGTCAAGCTCTGTGAGAACTTTGTAAACTTTTCCCACTCGTCGCTAGTACAAGTCCTCGTCGTCGCTTGCCGTTCCGTCTTGGAATCCCATCACCGCTTTGCCTTTTCCCTTGCCATTAACTTGTTCCTCTTCATCGCTGCTGACGGCAATGGCCTTGCCTTTGCCTTTGCCCTTACTCGAGGATGATCTGCCGCCCCTCGATCCTCCGGAAGAGCCGGGCCTTTTCGCGTGGTCTTGTGATTGCTGCTTCTTGTCGCTTCCTCCTTCAAACTGGGCTCTCACTCTTTCATAGTGCGCCAGTTCCCCTGCGCTGACACTAGGAATCAACTCCTCGTGCGCACCGATAAAGTCCTCCTCCTGCACCATGACGGCGATGTCCGCGGGCGTAGCGTAGTGGTCGAAGAAGTACGCTGTCGAAACCTCGTGCTTGTTGGCCGGGTCAGCATTGAGGGCGCGAACTTTAGCATCTACCGCCGCGGCCTGTCGGGTGACCGCCTTGAGCATGGCGTCACTGCACAACGCATAGAAATCGGCACCTGTGTAGGTAAATGGGAGGCGCTGAGAGACCGATGCGAGAGAGACAGAGGGGTGGAGCGTGAATCTATGTAAATGAGGATTAGTACGAGTTGTTTCTTCAAAATAGAACAGACTGCCAAATCTAGAGTTAAAGGAGAGAAACGTACTTTCGAGTGAGAGCCTCCAGAATGGTTTGCTGCTTCTCATGGGTGTCCGAAACACCGAGATAGAGCATCTTGTCAAATCGACCAGGACGCAGCAGTGCAGGATCCAACAAGTCAGGTCTGTTGGTAGCTCCGATGACGAAGACGCCTCCCGCATCCTCGCCGCCCGACATGCCGTCCAGCTCAGCCAACAGCTGCGACACGATACGGTCCATGACACCGCCGGAATCTCCCTGGTTACCTCTCTTGGGCGCAACGGAATCCAGTTCGTCGAAGAAGACGACGCAGGGGCGAGCGTCACGGGCTCTTTGGAAAACGCGGCGCACGTTGGCTTCTGACTCACCAATGTACATGTTGAGCAACTCCGGACCCTTGACACTGAAGAAGTTGAGGCTGTATTCGGTGGCGATGGCCTTTGCGAGGAGCGTCTTTCCAGTACCCGGAGGACCGTAGAAGAGGATGCCAGAGCGCTTCTTCATGCCCTTGGCGAATAATTCGGGGCGCTCCAGCGGTAGCTGAATCGTCTCCGTGATAGCCTCCTTGACATTGCTGAGGCCACCGACGTCGTCCCATGTGACATTGGGAATCTTGGGAGCACCAATAGAATCGGAAAAGTTCTTGCGGGCGGCCTCGACGGCAACATCAAAGTCGGCCGCTGTCAAGCAGCGCGCCGATGAGCCACCGGCAACCAGCACGTCACGCACCGTCATTGGCAGGTGGCCGTTGCTGGACTTGGTAGACAGCAATTCGAGGCGAGATCGTTGAGCTATCGAGGCCCGTTCTACGACATCAAGTAAGTCACCGGCGACCAGCGCAGCTGTCTTGAGAGCAATGGCATTTAGATCAATGGCCGGCTCGAGAGACACGCCGCGGTCTTCAATGACGGCCCTCAGGATGGCCTCTCGCTCGGCCTCGTCAGGGGCGCCCATTTCGAGCTCGTGGGTGAAGAGCGCGCGGACTCCATCGGGGACTTTGTCAACCTCGTTTGTTGTGGCAATAAGGACACGAACATCCTCAAGGATCTCCTTGATCGAAGACTCTATCCGATCAGCTGTCAGCGCTTCGATGTGCTGAATGAGGAGAGCGCAGCATTCCGGGCCACAGCTAATGGCTCGCTCAGCGCGTGTCCTCAGGAAGCCTTCTGTCTTGACGTCGCTGCCACTGCCTCCACCCTCACTGATAATGTCATAGGCATCAATGGCGAATGTGTGCAGACCCATGTCGCTACAAGCATCCTTTGCCATGGTCGCCTTTCCGATATTTCGATGCGATGATGTCAATAGGATAGCGACAGGCGGCATTTTCAGGTGCACAGCCCTCAAGCTTGTTGCGGCAGCCAGGAGCTCTCGTAGCTGGCGCCTCAGAGGAGGAACATGCTGCTGGTCACGATCTGCCAACTGCGGCGGACCACCGTCGGCTGCTCGTTGCGGCGACTTCTTCAGGCCAAGATAGTACGGCCAAGTGCTGTCCTTGATACCCGGTATCCGGCTCGTCTCAAATCCAGACCCATGCATGGCAACAGTGGTGCTGTCGATGCATGCGACAGTCCCCCACAGGGATTCCGCAGTTCCGTCCTCGTCCTCGTCGGACTTTTGCACCTGGATATGTCCAACTTTGAACCAAGCAACGCTGTCGAGATGCGACAGAGCCTCTCCGCCAGACTCAGTAGATCGTGCTGTCAGTGCTACTACGTCGTCCACCTCGGAACCGCCTGCGCCAGGAGCTTCTTGGAGTGCCCGGCCTAGCTGCGCATCCACTGGCACGGCGATCAGGTCACCCTGCCGAACGAGGCGCAATTTACGCGCAAAATAGCGTTTGAGTCCACCCAGCACGGCAGTTTGGTATGCTCTTTCGGCAGAGATGGGGGTTCTAATGTGGTGAATAGCGATATCTTTTGCGTACGGAGGCTGGGAGGCGCTCGCGAATCTGGGCAGCGTCCCTTTGCCTTGGTATGAGGACTTCTTGAGCACAGAGATGCGCAAGTGTGTGGCTCCATCAATGTTTGCAATCAAGATGGGCGAAGCATAAGCTGCCGGGCTAGATGGCCGCTGGACTTGCGACTCGAAGAATGATTGCCGTCGATCGCCCAGCCTGGAACTCGGTATCCGAGTGACGGGGCGCTGGGAGTAGCCCTCCGGCAAGCCATATACGCGAACAGGCCGCCAATTGGATACTTCAAAGTCTGGGTGATTGAAGCTGCCCAGCCCAAACGCGCCAAATCCATTCAGGGGAGGCTCCTCGGCAGCCTCAATCCGGACCCAGTCTCCGGAGAAACATCCAATCTTGGAGAGCGATGCGACATCAACATAGATTCGCGCCTCTTCATCGTCCTCGGGAGACGGCTTGGGATGTAGCAAGTCGGAGGGTATCTGTCTTCTCAGACCGTGCACTTTGAAGAGCCTTCCGCGAGACCGATCGGGACGCGCAGTAGTGGATGTGAAGTTGGAAAAGACGGAACCAGGAGTAGCGAAGCCATTGGTTTTTCTGCCACGGAGTGTACCAGCGGTCATTGGGGTTCCGGGGCCTAAAGAGTTCATCGAGTTCGTCGTCGGCAGTGTAGGGACTTCCAAAGATATCACCTCGTCCATGGAGTCATCCGAAAGCTCCTCCTCTTGTTCCGATCCTGAGAAATCCGTCTCCGTCTCGGTAGCCGCCACCGCATCGTCAGTAACGGCGCCAGCCCGATCGCGCTCTTCGGCGGCTGAGAAGAACTGGTCGTTTGTGCCATCCTCGTCGTCATCGTTACCGTTGAGCCGTTGACCAGAGGTCATTGATGCGGCAGGGCGGGCTTGTCGTCGGTTGATCCCTCTCCCCCTCATCAGGATGATCTTTGTAGATTCCGTCAGGATTCCCTGAGCAACGGGCTCACAGAGCATGATCTTGCCCGGATTCGGTGGCAGGTGGGTGACGGGGTGAGGCGGAAGAGGCAGCGGAAACAAATCGCCAGAATGAACGACCTTGAGGCTGCCAAGGGCGGCTCTGAGCGCCATGGCCACGCGCTCCTCGGCCGTCAAGTTGGCGACGCCCTTGGCGCTAGGGTTTGTCGGATGGTCCTTGTAAAACGTGCCCTCGCCATTCTCCAGCCGTTTTGTTAAATCGCTTTCGAGGTTGACGAATACCGTCTCCAGCGGTACAGGGGCAACATCGAGAACAAGGATCTCGATGCCGCTGCGGCTATGGCTGGACAGCTTGGACGGAGCCACTTGCTGCAGAGTGACAGCAAAGCTCTGGAGAGCCGAAGACGAGGGCGAGAACTGAATGGTCGAATGGGACAGGTCGCTCGATCGCAGAACGGGAACAACAGACCAGGCCATTTCGACGGGGTTCGCATTGGGCGCCCATGGCGCGACTGCGATGTGGTGGATTTCGTCGGCGAGCTCATCGTTGGCATCTTGTTGCTTCTTGTCAGCGTTCTCTTCGGCGTGTGCAGCAGTAACATTTCAGCGCTGACGCATTGCCGTTGGCCATCACTTACCGCTTGCATGGTGCGGGAAGAGGTCGGAGAAGAGATCGTCAGACACGATGCCAACGTCTCCCTTGGTGCGGTCGTCGAGCACGAGCCGGGCGGTGATGGCCGGCTTGTCCTGGCGCCGCCTGCGGTTCCGTCTCTTGTGTGACACGACAGGCGCTCCGTCTGAGACAGCCATCTCGGATGGTTTCAAGAGGCTGTGAGGGAAAGGTATGGCGAGATCGGGCGCAAGGAGCCGTTGGAGCTGGGAAAGGAGTCGGCGGACAGAGCTGTTTCAATAGTTGACAAGACCCCGCAGCCGCTGGATCATGGCGCAGGCAGAGATCAGAAGAAGATGGTGATAAAAACACAGTCAAGCACCACGGCGGAGGATCAAGGATGGAAACAAAGCTGGCCGGGAATCCGGGGCAATTGGATTCGGCGCGTGCTGGGCGCGATGCGTTGCGATGAAGATCCAAAGTGCGTGTTCGTGTCGCTGCAGATTCCACTATAAGCAGCAGTGGCTCGGCTGTGGCCGTGGCAGCCTCGGCATAGGGACTTTGCACCCCAGATTTCGGGGGCCTCAGCTTCTTACAAGCGCAAGGTGCAGCTCCACCAAGGGCTCAGCTCAATGCTGTAGTTTAGGTAGTTACCACGGCAAGGACGAGCAGCTGAAGCGGATGATTTTAGTAGTTGGTGATGGACATGTACATGTAGCTACGTGTACTAATCTATAGAGAAATGGGGGCTGTTATCGATGGAATGATTATGGCCATGTTGGAGCGAGTGCACGTCCTGTAGTAACATCGGATGCAGTGTGGCCTGTACGGAGTACGGAGTAGCTGAATTGACTTCCCAAGGTTCCGTTCGATATTCCCACTGCGGCACAACCACTGCAAATGAACTTACCCGGGACTAGGTAAATCATTCAACTATTTGCTTTGTACATGGCCTAATGTACGAGAAAGTGGTAAAAGAGTCGATTGGGTGCCTGGTTGGTACGTTTTACACTCGGTAGGTGTCTGTGGGTATGCATGCAGATTAAAGACGGCAAGCAAAGTCATCTTAACTGCTAACCAATGGATGAGTGCGCTTTAGTGGCTTACACTCGATTATTTCGTCATGCCTTGGAGCAATTAATAGTCTCCATTTACATACTCAGTCCTCATGAGTAAATCCCTACATGCTAGGTAATTAACTAGAATTTCACATGTATTTTTTTTTTAGCGATACATGTATCTCAAAGCCGGCCATTCGTTCAAATCTCCACTCATCCAACTTGGCCAGCACTGCCATCAAGGAGGCAAAAAAATCATGGCCAATTTCACAAGCTAAAAACCTGGATTCAACAACGGAGAATTACAGAAACGGATGGAAAATTAATATGGAGCCAACTAACAGGGATCGACTCTTGAATGATTCGCGACTCGATTGCGTCACACCTAACACATAGTCTACTGTACAATGCATTGATTTTCTTCTGGAAATGTGGAAGCCCTTCTGCAGGGTTTCTGGATGTAGATGCAGCTTCTCCCCTCCACTCACCGCATTTACCAGTTGTCTCATGATGTTTGGTTAGAGCCCTGGCTTTTTTGAAAACCCAATTGCTCCAGTTTACGACACATGGGAACTGCTTGTTCCTGAGCTTTCACAACTTTCATTATTTTGATAATCATCTGTGGACGCATAAGCTGTTTATAGCGGAAATTGAATGCGAAGTGGCTTGATCTTCCTTGATGTCATTGCCGTACCTGGTCGATGCCCATCTGTGAGCGATTATCACAACATCTAGCAGCGACAACCCATCGTATGGCTTGAATAAAAATATTCGAAACGACACAAGACAGTATAGAGAAAATAAATCTCACCACGGTGAACAGCCCGATTGGTAAAAATGGGTCACAACGAAGATCCCCCGACCTCGGCTCAGCACGACATGTCGCCTCGGTCGACGTTTGAGGTTGCACAGCAGGCGGTCGAGTTCACCAAACAGTCTGAGAAACTCTCACATCAACGGTTGGAAGATGACTCTACAGCAGTCGCTGCACAGGCAGATTTCGTCACACCACAGGACCCCGTCATCGTCACATCGGACGGCAACAGGTTGCCCGGCGTGCCATTGGATGAAGCACATAAGCTCAACGTGCTGCGCGAAGACCTACAAGGACAGACGACGGAGGTAGAAATTAAGAAGGGAAACAAGATTCAAGAAAAGATCGCAAACCCGGCTGCGCATCATCATCACAATGGAGAGGAAGGCCGGAAGACCATACAAGTACCCGAACCTGAAAAAGATGAGGGAAATGGACAGCCTTGGCAGCAGGCATCACAAGGAACCTTGAGGCACGCCATGCCTCCATCACATACGAACCCATTGTTCCCACCTCTACCGCTATACGGGCCGCCGACGTTGCTACGCAATATCCAGTGTTGGTTTTTCAGGTCTACGTCGTTTGTGCTGAGCATGGAGTTTCTTGGCGTGATTGTACTCGGCTCGCTGTTTACAAGCATTCCGAAATGGTGCAAGGCACTGTTTCTGCCCAACGAGGAGAAGAAGCGGCCGTTTTATGACAAGGAGCTGCAAAACGCCGCAATTAGAGAAGAGAAGGAAAAGGATTGGGACCCGACGGGAGCCCAGAGACGCTTGGATGTCGAAAACGAAACCATAGTGGATGAATACCCGCCGACTGAGGGCGGCAAAGACCCCATTATCTGTGACGTTGGCTACTATGCCCGCAGAGTTGGCCTTGACGTGGAGACTTTTAAAGTCGAGACCGAAGATGGCTTCATCATTGAGCTTTGGCACGTCTATGACCCCAAAGAGCATACGCCCCTAGACGAGGCAAGCAGAGAGAAACTTGGCCCAACCGTCTTTCAGGAGCAAACTCAGCGGCCGGGGAGTGCGAGCAAGAAACGAAAGTTCCCCGTGTTGCTGATGCATGGCTTGCTGCAGAGCTCGGGAGCGTATTGCTGCAACGATGACCAGAGCCTGGCGTTTTGGCTCTGCAAATCGGGATACGACGTTTGGCTGGGCAACAACCGCTGCGGCTTCAAGCCCCAGCACGTACTGCTCGACTACGGCGACCCGCGCATGTGGTGTTGGAACATTCGGCAGATGGGCGTCTTTGACCTGCCGGCGCTCATATCGCGCGTCTTGCACGAGACGGGGTTCGAGAAAATCGGCCTCATCTGCCACTCACAGGGAACGACGCAGACGCTGGTGGCCTTGGCAAAAGAGCAGCGGCCTGACCTGGGCGAGAAACTGACCGTCTTCTGCGCTCTGGCTCCTGCGGCATATGCCGGGCCGCTCATTGGCAAGATGTACTTCAAGTTCATGCGCATCATCTCGCCCGGCATGTTCAGGCTCATGTTTGGCATCCACGCCTTCATCCCCCTGATGATGCAGATGCACGCGCTGCTGGATCCCCGGCTGTACGGATGGCTGGGCTACAAGGTCTTCTCGTTCCTCTTTGACTGGACCGACGAGAGATGGGACCGAGGCCTGCGCAACCGCATGTTTCAGTTTGCGCCCGTGTATGTAAGTGCCGAGTCGATGAGGTGGTGGCTCGGCCGTGAATGTTTTGCCAAACACAAGTGCATCCTGGCGACGAGGGACGTCGTGAAGGAGGAAGAAAGCATGGATGAAAGCGGCAGCAACGAAGACGACGCGGAAACCAGCGACGAAAACCCCCAAACTGGGGATGGGATTCACAGGCCCCAGCATCGGCATCACATCAAGGGTTCCACGGCATGGTACAATCACCAAGTGCCCCCGTTTGCGCTGTGGGTATGCGGCGACGATCATCTAGTCGACGGACAGAGGCTGCTCAAGCGCTTCCAAGCAGGCCGCGAGCCGCACGTCAAGGTGGTGCACAGCAAAGTGATTCCCGAGTACCAGCACCTGGACGTGATCTGGGCCATGGATGCGCCGGACCAGGTATTTCGAGAAATCCGCGAGGTGCTGTGGAAGACGTGCGACGCCAGGGACTCTTGCAGGATCCCGGAAGGCTGCGACATGGTGCCCGAGTGGGAACCAGCCGAGGTTGTGGCGATGGAGGCGATGGAGGCGAGCGAATAGGGCATCATGGATATAACGGTAGTCTTGTTTTATTTCCCCATATTCCTTTCCTATTTCTTGGTTGCTTGCTTGGATGCGGCCCAAAAGCTCGGAGTTCTAGAGCGGCACTTGTAACGATAGATGTGGAGTTGTACGGAGGTAGATGGAGTCGGTTCAAAGACATGAGGCATCTTTTTGCCGTTGTCGGCATATTTACCAGGAACTGTACTGTACATGTATGTAGCAGAATTGAAGGAATTGGAGCTCCATAAAACTCGGATGAATTACCGATAACCCAGCAGCAGTATTCGATTATTCATCTTTCTCACGCGCTGCCATCTGACTGTGCTGCCATCTGACTGCGAAGCCATCGACACTTGATTCGCCAGCAGCCGCCAGAGCACTCAAGGTCAGATCCCAAGCAAACCTCCCCCTTATTGCTGCTCCCCCGCATTCAATTCCTCCTCTCCACGGACGCCATCGAAATGGGCTTCATCTCCATCTCTGGCTTCAGTCCACGATGACCGACCCACACGCCCCGTTCGCGGCGCCGAGGTTAAAGATTTGCCAAGGGCCTCCGCTTTTACCGCCCTCGATGTCTCCGTCGTACCGAGAGGCCCCCCAAGCTTACCAGGACCCATGTGTGTTGACTCTGCGTGACTAGGTTAGGATACTATCTGCAATGTATGTACTATTACGTGAGGGTTTTGCTGTGGGACTACGGTACCCCGAGTCAGAAATGGCCCGGGATTGGGTTCTGTCTTGAGCCTGGCAAGCTCGGAGTTTTGCTGGCGGGACAAAGATCGAGTTCCGACGGGCATCATTCAAGCATCAGGGACAACATACCAACACCAGACCACGGTAGTTCGGACTTGGGGCCGACGACGCGAACCCAACCAAGGTATGGCTCTCGTGCTAGATGCCTTTCCTAGTGCCTAGGTTCAGCGCGGAGACGAGGTTGATCGTACTAGTAGTAAAAGGAACGAGGTGGCCCTGCCATTATCAAGCATGACCACGATGCTGGAGCACTATATACCAGGGTCTGCCTCTGGCTTATCCCACCTCATAATACCCTCCGCGTGCCCATACCTACCTCGAGACGATTTCGGATCCTAGTATTGTCATTCATACATAACGTGTGCCCAGAGCAGGCCGGCCCCAGTTTCCGTATCGTATCTTCACTCTTAAAAAGCTCCGAGTGGGATAGGACTGTCTTTCGAATCGTTGTGATTACCAATCTATAGAGACTTTTCATACAAACCTTACACCCGCACAATATAGCGATCATGCCTATCGCGTCACTCCAAATCCCGGTCGAGATCCCTCCCGTCGACATCTGGTCATACTACCTGGAGCAGCCCAAACACTATCCCGGCGACAAACGTCAGTACATCAAATGCAATCACCTTCTTTCCCATCTCAATTGTGTCCCGAAAACAATAAAAAGGGCGTCATCATGTCTCACAGCTAACTCCCATGTTCCAGCCCTCTTTATCGACTGCGACACCGGCAGGTCTCACTCCTTCAACGACATCAAGCGTCTCGCCCTCGAATTCGGCAAGGGCCTGCGCCATGTCTTCAATTGGCAAACGGGCGACGTCATGGGCCTCTTCACGCCCAACGACATCGACGTCCCCGTCGTCAACTTTGCCATCCACTGGGCCGGCGGCATCTCCAGTCCTGCCAATCCGACGTACACGCCCGAGGACCTGGCTCAGCAGCTAAAGGACTCTGGCGCAAAGGCTCTTCTTACGCAGAAGCCGTTCCTGCAGGCTGCCCGCAAGGCCGCGGCGCTTGCGGGTTTGCCCGATGATCGGGTTTTGCTGATGGGACATGGTCGGGATGAGACGGGCTTGCACAGGCATTGGTCCGACATCACTGCCAAGGGCGCCCCGGTCCAGCCTCAGAAGGCCATTATTGACCCCAGGAAGGACCTCGCGTATCTCGTGTACAGCTCTGTGAGTGTGCCTACATCATTGGATATCTTGCTTATTGGCGATTAATAAACCCGGTTAGGGGACAACCGGTTTGCCCAAGGGTGTGATGCTCAGCCACCAGAACATCGTTGCTCAAGGGCTCCAGACCGAGAAACAAGGCGACAGCAAAGGTCTCTTGTGGGAGGTAGACGCTCAGCTGGGCGTTCTTCCATTCTTCCACATCTATGTACGTCTGTCCCAGAGAGAGGAAAGCGAGATGCCATGGTTTGCATCAGAAGCTAATATCTTATTCAGGGCCTGGTCGTTGTTTTGGCCACCACCATTGCTACTGGCGTCAAATGCGTCGTCCTGCCCAAGTTCGACCTTGAAAAGGCCTGCAAGCTGATCCAAGACCATCACATCACCTTCATGTACGTGCCACCGCCCATTGTTCTCGCTCTGGGCAAGCACCCCGTCATCTCAAAGTACGATTTGTCGTCACTGCGATGGATAAACTCGGCCGCCGCTCCATTGAGCAGGGAACTGGCAGTTGCGGTGTGGGAACGGCTCAAGGTTGGCGTGAAGCAGGGCTATGGACTGTCTGAGACATCTCCCGGCGTCATGTTGCAGCTGGCGGAAGAGTGGTGGAAATATCAGGGCTCCGTCGGAAGGCTGTATCCAAATATGGAGGCCAAGATTGTGGATGAGGATGGCAAGGAACTAGGCTATGACAAGGTGAGAGGCATACTGACAGAGATTTCTGCTTGTTGAAATGTGTTCTAACAATCATGGCAACCCAGTCCGGAGAACTCCTCCTCAAGGGACCAAACGTCTTCTCAGGCTACTGGAAGAGGCCTGAACTCAACAAAGAAACCTTCACTGAGGATGGCTGGTACAGAACTGGAGACATCTTCTACTGCTGTCCCAAGGGCAACTTTTACATCACCGACCGCAAGAAGGAGCTCATCAAATACAGTAAGTCCAACGACACTAATGCATCCCCTTGTATACATCCATACCATCCGCATCCCACCCAAACTCATCTCTTTCATGTGACGCTGACTCGGCTTCCACTACAGAGGGCTTCCAAGTCCCCCCTGCCGAACTCGAAGCCAAGCTCATCGGTCGCGAGGATATCGCCGACGTCTGCGTCATCGGTGTCTGGGACAAGGAACAACACACCGAGATCCCGCGCGCCTATGTCGTGCTCAAGCCCGGTGTCGAGGAGTCCGAGGCCAAGGCCAAGGAAATCACCGAGTGGCTCAATGCAAAGGTGGCGCCCTCCAAGAAGCTGCGCGGAGGCGTTCGCTTCATCAAAGAGGTCCCCAAATCTCAAGCAGGCAAGATCCTGCGGAGAGTGTTGAGGGACCAGGTCAAGGAGGAGGAGGAAGCGGCGGCAGAGGCACCAAAGGCGAAGTTGTAAGGCTGTAAGCGGAAGAGAGCGGGCATTTCGGGTCGATGGTAAAAGAACGCGTGTAATTTTAGCCGTTGTTTAATTATACAATTCGAGGTCGTGGATGGCCTCGTCTAATGCCTATATAACAAATACACATGAACGGTTCTGCCGTTTCATCTATCCTGGTGTGTTCATGTTTTTCCAAGACGCCAAATCATCCCAATCTTTCCGCCTCTTCTAGCAGCTTCTCGACGCTGAATCTCGGGTCGCCATTTGTAAACCACCCGAGCAGCTTCTTTCTTTCTTCCGCCCTCTCTTTTCTCTGTCCATCTAGTTCATCGCCCTTTTGCTCCCATCCGCCATAGAACCGCTGCAAGCACATGACCAGCCATCTCGCGTGGTCTGGCTGTACGCCTCTCCCTTCCATTACCTGGCCCTGCATAAGAACCAGGCCCTTGTCCTTGATCAGATCGAGGTGATGCGTCACTGTAGTATGTGGTTGTGCAAACTCCCCTCTGGTCTTATACTCGACCAGCTGGGTGAACAGAACAGTGCTGGTCTTGGATGCTGCATCAAAGGTCCATTGCAACAGGTGCATTTCTGCGCCCTGGTCCTCGTGCGGCACCGGAAGGACAAAGAAGGGACTGCTGCGTGCCAGATCCTCCATCGCCTTGTATTTTGGCGCAGGGATGACGGCGCAGAGTGTCTGCGGAGACGATGCGTGGCGAAGGCGCCAGATGGCTGTGAGTTCCTTTTCAGGCAGGTCGGCGGCTTTTTCGAGATCAAGGATATCGCCAAGGGGTTTGATGGCGGGCTTTTCGCCGGAAGAGCCCTTTGAAGCGGGCTTGGGGGAGGAGGAAGAAGAAGAAGATGGCACAGGTCCGCGATTCGGCTGGGAGACTGGTGTGCCCTCGGTCTGTGGGATGGATGCCGAGGACAGATCCTCTATTGAAGGAACGTCTACGGCATCGTTCTTGCGCTGTTCTTGTATCTTGTCCGCATACGCCGCTTTGAGGTCTTCGACGCTTCCATGGCCCTCCTGCGACGCCTTTCTGGTGAGTTTCTCGCGGTACTTCTCGAGGATCGCTTGCGAAGGCTGCGTTGTGTGGAATCGGACGTCGACGACTTGCGCCCAGCGACGCTGCTGGGTGGTGCGAGCGGCGAATCGTCGCGCCGAACTGGTCGCCAAATGACGCAGCGTCGGTATTCGAATCATGGCCAGGGATAGAGAGGTTGATGGAGCTGGAATTGGCTGTTGCAAATGCCGGCCCAAATAATTCGGAGTCTCGAGCGCGGGATTCTTCCGTCATGGCCAAAAAGTGGGGACCGAATCTGCCAGAAAAAAACACCCCACCATGGCCGATGTTCGTCCCGGCGGAATTGCGATTTTGCCTGCTCGTCAATGTTTACAAATACATCGTTGCCCAGCTCCTGAGTGGCCGAAGACGCCTGGAGCGACGCTTTACAGAAGGGGAAACTCATCCAAGGGCCTTAATTCTCGCTCCCAGGCACATAAGAAGCGGTGAACTCGTCGGCAGCGGGCGGTTGGTCATACAAAAGTTACCCCGCGATAGTGACTGGGATCGGACGCTCAGACTCACCGAGACCTGCACGATAACGTTGCATTCGACCATTACGAGGGCATTCGCTGCGAAAGAGTTGGTATAAAAGAGCGTCTTTGACCTTTTTTGGATCATCCTGAATCATCTGGATACCGGTTTAGCATTTACGCAAGCGCATAGAAGCCATGGCCGATTTTCGGCAGCTGGCACTCGACTTTGTCCTCGAGGAAGATGAAGCCAAACTGACAGATTTGGCCCAGAGGGCGGCCAAAGGTATGCTCTATTTGGAGATTGGAGATGCGGGATGTTCTAACACGAGACTTGTTTTAGAGCTTGAGACAGGTCCGGCCAATTCCAACCCTGTTGCACGTTGGGTAGAGGCTGTTCAGCCCTGGATGCCGGGTAGCAACGAGACTGAAGACGCACAAGAAACTCCAGACTGGACATCAAGAGCAAAGGGTGAGAAGATGACTCCCATTCTCTGGTCACCATGATGCTGTGCTAACCCAAATGTGACTCAGCTCTGGAATTTTTATCCCATACATTGGATTTTGTGAAGCCGGATCTCCTGAAATTGAGCCAAGGTAAACCCATAGTTCTTACAAGCTGCCATGGGTTCAATTCGACTTACAGCGTTTTCCAGTGAAGCTCTTGATTGCCTTCTTCGGTGCCATGCTCGACATTGACCACAAAGCTGGCATCCTAGCTTCGGCCTCGGCCTTGTCTAGAATTATTGCCATGAAGGCCTTCCAATCACAGAGTGGCTACGACATCATTGGAAAAGTGTGCGGCATGAAGGAAGACTTCCAAAGACAGACTATAAAGACTCGCCTGGCAGTGTATGAGTTGCTGAGAACACTCATCGCCACCCCTGAAGTCGCGAGCAATCTCCAGCAACGGGACGGACCTTCATCTGCGTTCATGACCAACCTGTTGGAGCTGTGTCGGAATGAGAGAGATCCGGATTGCTTGATTGTGTGGTTTGACATTCTGAGAATTTTTCTCCAACAATACGAGCCTGCTCAAGAGGTTCTCGAGGCCGTCTTTGCTGCTTTCAAGGCATACTACCCCATTACCCTACCGCGCTTGTCGCAGAGCAGCCTTACTCCAGAGGACCTTAAAACTCAGCTTCGAAAATGCTTCTCATCAACATACCGCCTCGCATCTCTTGCACTACCATTTTTGATAGGTAAACTTGACCAAGGAGACGGTGTTACTGTCAACGTCAAGGTAAGCTGGTTCCGTTCCCTTCGTCGGTATTCGACGAGTCTCATGTACGTTTTAGGTCGATGTTTTGAAAACTATCAAAGAATGCCTCGAAGAGTACACGCACCCAGAAGAATCCATCATCCCATATGTTAGTCGAACCTGGGGCAGTCTCAAGTATGAAGTACGAAATGGGGAAATCGAGGACGCCATTTGGGCTACTCTCGAAGTGTTGAAAACGCTCGCAACGAAGCTCAAGGATGACGATCTTCGCAACTACACGCTGGATGTGACGCGCGACTGCGTCAACGACCTGTCGAATCCCATGTACACTACTCCAGCTGGCCGTCTCATCGTTAGTGTTCTCAGCGCAAATCCGAGTGCATTCGTCCTCATGGTGGCGCCAACAATCACGCACCTCAAGGACAATCTGCGACACAGGAAATCGGTGACCCATAGCCAAGATTTGCTGAAAATCCTCAACGTCATCTTGGAAACTCGACTTCTCCTGTCGCAGACACAGATGTCTGATGAACAAAAGAGCGATTTTGTGTCCATTGATGGCATCTTCAAGAATCTGTACCACGACGTTTATAAGGGCCCTGTCGCACTTGGAAGCAACGAAAACGCCAATGTCGATGACATTAAAATTGCAACGGAGGCAGTTCAGGGAGCGGGTGCGTTGGTCTCTCAAAGAACTGTGTCGCTTGGACTGGAGAAAGAAAGTGGGCTACTTCTTCCTGAAGCAACGTGCTCTGAAGTCTGCCAGGCACTGTTCGCCATTGCATTAAATGGGTTTGGTAGCCATTCTTCAAACTCCAATTCAGATCATCTTCTGAACGAGACAGCAAAGGCCCTACACAGATCCGTCCAGGCCTACGCACCGGGTTTCCGACCCCTGATTGATCAGTTTGTATCAGTCGCTCAGAGCAATCGTAATGACCAGAGTGACGAAACCGCCGAGAAAATTCAAAAAATTGGCTCTCTCCTAGCTTATATCGGATGCTCTGAATTGCCCAAGTCTCTTATCGCTGGGAGACACAACTTCTTGGCCCTGATCCATGTCATGACTACCGAGTTAATAGCGGCGATGAACGCAAAAGCCAGCCCAAAGATTTGGTGTGCGTTGGTTGTCGGTATTCAGACTGTCTCACGTTACTTCAATGACGCTTGCTTGAAGCGTAACCCAGAGACAGACCAGGCTTTTGATGGCTCCATGTGGCTGTATCGGGCCACTTACAAGTATCCAGAGCTAAGAATCATTGCAGAGGAAGAAGACGACGGCTCTGCACCGAGTTACAATAGCTCAACACCGCCGAAAGAAACAACCGTTACCGAGCTTCGCAATGACTTTTTGCTCATTGCCCTGGTAGTTGTTCGGAGCCTTTATCGCCGTGCAACCGCCGCAGTAGGCCTCATCCCGGGCACCAAAACTCCGGCCCTTCAGCTCAGCAGCGACTTTGATGGCTCTGATAAGACATCTGAATATCAGTATCTCCATCTCGTCTCTGATTTCGCCGGGTTCGTTGTTCGAGAGATGGGTGAGGCCCAGCAAGCTTCACTAAAACTCGATCATTACTTTTTGAATCTTTTCCAAGAAGAACTGATACCCGTCCCTGCTTCTGCTACAGAGGAGCAGAGAAAGGCCAAGCTGGAGAACTATACTGATGAGCAAGGATCGCCATGGGGTTGGTTGACGGAAAAGACAGTGAATATTCTTTCTTTCGGGCTCTTGGAGGCTATGAGGCCGTCTATTGTTGCAAAACTCGTGAGTTGTTTCCCATATGTCTCCTCAATCTTTACAGCACTTCTAACTGCCCGAATAGTTTGATTCTGGAGTTTCGCAAGAACTTTTAATCAGCGGCACTTTGAGTGCCTCTCTCACCCAAAACTCAGTCACCAGACCTGTAACCAGATCTATTCTGACCATCTTGGCGAACAAGTACAAGATTGAAAGCCTCGGATATCTGATGACCAAGTTGGAAGGCCGATTAGAAGCCTCCTTGAAAAATGCCCAAAATGCCTCTGACAGCGATGATGCTTCGCGCTATCTAGAACAAGTATCCTCCATCTACGCAATTGTCAGCGGGTTGATCCGTCGCCCGGGCGGCACGCAAGCTCGAGCCCTGATCCAGCGGTTACGCGATGTCCCTGGGAACGAGACTACCGGTCATCTACTGGCTCGCAGACTGGAGATGATTGTTGCGCCGCAAAAGTTCTTGGCAAAGGAGAACTTTGCCGTTGTGAAGCCCCTTTGGA